AATTTATATATTATTAACTAAATTATATAATTATAATTAATTAAATTTATATATTATTAATTAAATTATATTATTTTTAAAAGATAACTTGCATTATAAAGAATTTGATGAAATTTATCAACATGAAACAAGTGAACAATTTAAACCTTCAAATACAAAGTTTAAATCTAAAGAAAGTTCTATTGCATTTTTGTAAATAATTTTATTCGACTTTTAGTAGCTTGTGATTTTTGTGGAAAGTATCGTTGCATATATTCAAAAACTATATTAAATGAAATTGAAACACTAGCTATTACTCAATATTTAGAAGATATTATATATAGTTGTGGATCACCAATTGTTTCAGATGATCATTTTCTTGCTAATACTCTTCACATACGACTTAATTTAACATATAACTCACCAATTGAACATAATTATTATTCTTGTAGACTTAAAGATGTAGATTTATGTTATTGGTGTGGTGCAGAAGATGAATTGCTTAAAATCCCATCTGAAATACAAGATAATTAGAAGATAATTTATCCACTTTGTGAATCATGTTATAATGAAAAAAAAACTTAGAAAACTCGAACTCCTAAAGTATTCAAAAAACAAAAAAAAAACTAAAACTATAATAATATATTTTAAAATATAAACTTCGATATATTTTAAAATATAATTTCAATATATTTTAAAATATAAACTTCGATATATTTTAAAATATAATTTCAATATATTTTAAAATATAACTTTTATTATTCTAAAATATAAATTTTGATATATTTTAAATATAAATTTCTAAATTTTGATTATTTTTTTTAGAAGTTTGTATGCTGTTTTTGAATATTAGTTTGTAAAAAATTATTATTTCAATTATTTTAAAATAGAAATTTCGATCATTTTAAAATAGAAATTTCGATCTATTTTAAAATAAAAAATTTATCTATTTTAAAATTTATTTTAAATTTGATGATTACTCTATTTGATTATTTTAGAATAGAAATTTCGATCTATTTTAAATTTTATTTTAAATTTGGCAATTTATCTTTTATTCAAAATTTTATGCTTAAATTTTTTGTATACAAATATGTAGTTAAATATCGATATATTATTTAACATTCTTAAGACTTTTATAACAATACTAAGTATAAATATGTCTAAGCTTTAATATATTATTAAACAAATGGCTAATAAAAAATTGGCAATTGGCAAAATAAATTATTAGTAAATTATAATATTATAATACTGGTATACATAAATAAAACCTATCTAGTGATTAATTATATTCCCGGTCTAAATTGTCAGAATAATTTTATTTATTAAAATTAAAATGTTAGTTATAAATAACTATTATAAATATTCAAATAGTTCTTGTTACGTAATACCAATATAACATATCTTATTTTTATCTTACTGTAAAGTTGCAAAATAATAGATATTCTTTCAAATCACATAATTTATGTTGACAAATTTTCTTGTGTTTTGTATAATAGAAATACATTTATTTGAAATTTTCTCACTTATTCAAGTCTAAAATATTGATGTAGGCTAACTAATTAACTTCAAATAGTTTAATTAAATTCTCTAGACTAAAC